TCAGAATTGCCTTTCATATAATTTTGGCGCGTCGAAAAGTCTTTAGTCACTCTCTACTTTTTATGACTTATGTAAAACCCATAGAATGTCTTTGTGGGTACCTGGCATCCAGCCAAGATCAACTCACCACATCTGGTCTGACAGTTTTTACTCTGTCTCCTAAGCAACCCTGTGTTTAAACATGCATTTTCCCATTCAGATTTAATTCACACGTGATTGCATTCCCATTGTTCCTTAATTTTAGGGAAGGCAATGTTAAATGTTGCAACTACAGTGTTGGGTACGTGGAGTTTCCTCTATGTGTAGAGTTGGTGCCATCATTTTGGCAGCACTGAGTAACTGCGACACATGTCATTTTTGTCCTTCATTCTTCCTTTTCTTAAGTCAACTGGCAGATGTTGGGATTTCAGGTTAGTGTACTCTTTAACTCCTCTGAAGCCTTTTATTTTACTGGTAGCTGCAAAATCAAAACAGTAGCATTAGTTTTTTTCCTGTACATGCCCTATAAATTCTGAACGGACACAAGTGGAGGTTCAAGTGATCACTGCTTAGCTGTTCTGCAGCTTCTTAATTTGTGCACAGCTGGCCTGTGGTCATGTTCTAACTGTGTGAAAGGTGCATCTGCTGCTATTCTTAGAGAATTTGCTGAGTACCAAAGCAGATGGAGATGCCAGTAGTTATCACTTACTAACATAGCTTGTTGTATTATTCCCTAGAAATGTACATTATTAAAATAGAGAAATCTCTCAGGGCAGTTGGTTAGATGAAAGGACTTTAATGAAAAATTCCCAAAGGGAGTTATCATCCTAAAGAATCTTTTGGTAGCAGAAGCATCATGGTATACAGGTCAGGGAAGTAGCACCTTCAGGTTATATGAATTCAGATAAACACGCTTGTTTTCAAATTGTGTTCAACACATTCTGTCTATTTTTCCTGAATTCATATTTCTTTTTCAAACTGAGATGAGATTGTCAAAAGCATCTCACACTGAATACAGTCACTTTTACTCTTTTTCATTTTTAAAAATATTTGTCAACTGGTGCATTGTACATAGCAAAGGATTTTGAGCACAGGTGTTGTGGTCTGTGTAAGAGCTGCTGTAGGAAATTTTGCCACTGGAAGATATTCCTTCAGCTAGGTTCCATTTGGCATGCCTTTTAAGTAGGGTTATGACTATTGCTACTGATATTAGACTGATTAGTGAAAGTCTGCTGTAGCATATTAGTGTGAGAATACTTTGACTTCTGAGAACTTTGTCAATGTCTAGTTGTCTGCTGGAATTGTGTCTTTGTGTGTGCTTCTACTGAGTCACATCAGACCCATAAAACCCTGTTTATTTGCCCACTGCGTTTTGCTTCTACAACCATTTCTGTGTACCAACCATATATTTTCTGTTAACGTGGGGAGCTGTTTAGATAGGTTCCCCTTTCTTTTGCCTTCTTTCCCTTATCTGCACTTGGAAAGGTGTGTCAACACTCTAAGAAAAAAAGGACATTGGGTAGTACTATTGCTATGAAGGTCAGCTGTCATTTCTCCATTGAAGATATCGTAGAATCACAGAATGACCTGGGAAGGGCCCCTAGAAGGGACCTTAAAGATCATCTAGTTCCAGCCCTCCTACCATGGGCAGGGACACCTTCCACTAGACCTGTTTGCTCAAAACCTGGTCCAACCTGGCATTGGACACTTCCAGGGATGGGGCATCCACAACTTCTGTGGGCAACCTGTTCCAGTGCTGCACCACCCTCACAGTAAAAAATTTCTTCCTAATATCTAATCTAAACCTACTCTGGTTTGATACCTTTCCCCCTTGTCCTGTCACTACATGCTCTTGTAAAAAGTCTCCACATCTTCTTGTAGGCTCCCTTCAGGTACTGTAAGGCTGCAATTGCAATTAGGTCACCCTGAAACCTTCTCTTTTCCAGGTTGAACAATCCCAATTCTCTCAGCCTTATGTCACAGGAGAGGTGCTCCATTCCTCTGATCATCTTGGTGGCCTCCTCTGGACTTGCTGTGAAAGGTCGATGTCCCCCCTGTACTGGGGTCTGCAGAGCTGGAGGCAGCACTGCAGGTGGGGTCTCATGACAGCAGAGTAGAGGGGCAGAATCAACTCCCTCGACCTGCTGACCACACTGCTCTTGATGCAGCCCAGGACACGTTTGGCTTTCTGGTTTGAGTGCACATTGCTAGCTCATGTCCAGCCTCTCATCCACCAGCACTACCCCCAAGTCCTTTTTGGCAGGGCTACTCTCGATCTGTTCATCCCCCAGCCTGGATTGATACTGGGGGTTACACTGACCCAGGTGCAGCACCTTGCAATTGGTCTTGTTGAACCAAGGGTATTCCCATGGGCCCATTTCTTGAACTTGTCCAGATTCCTCTCGATGGCCTCCCATCCTTCAGGTGTGTCATCTGCAAATGTCATTAAAGAAGATATTAAATAAAACTGGTCCCAACACAGACCCCTGAGTGACACCACTTATCACTGATGTCCATTGGGACGCTGAGCCATTGACCACAACCCTCTGGATGGAACCATCCAATCAGTTTTTTATCCATCTAACAGTCCACTCATCGAATTCATCTCTCTCCAGTTTAGAGAGAACAATGATGTGGGGGACTGTGCCAAAGACTTTACAGAAGTCCTAATAAATGACCTCTGTAGCACTTCCCTTGTCCACTGATGTAGTCACTCCACCATAGAAGGCCACTGGGCTGATCAGGCAGGACTTGCCTTTGAAAACCTTTAGGAAAGTTTCAGCATAGGATCACATAGAGAGTGTTATTTCATCTCCCAGCCTGAGAACAAAAAGAACCTTTTGTTGAAATTGCATTGATACTGCCCCAGTTCAAATGCCAGATTTTGATCATGCATGCTTATGTACCATGGTGTTTTGTTATGTTGAGGATATAATTCCAAGAAGTATGTGCTTGTCATTTGAGGATAACACCCTTGGATCATTTCCATGACTCTTAGTGGCTTGCATGCTATTGCAAAATGCCTGATGTCGTTCTACTTCCTATGGTCTGTATCTTTTGCTGGATATTATTTTCCATTGCAGCCTGGTATTTTGCCATATCTCTCCTCCTTTTAAAATGTTCCCACTCTAATTATGTGCTGGACTTTTTTTTTTCTGGTGAATTTAGTCCTTTGTATTCTTTCACTTATGCATCTTTCTGCTTTCTGTATGCTTCTGGCATGCGAGGGCACAGTTTAGCAACACACTGAAGGCCATCTCAGCTGCTGCCAAGGGCATTTCTTTCCTTACCTGGCATAATTTTTGCAGGAATGATGGCCATTTTACCCTCACCAGGAACCGAGAATCTAAATCAACAGAAAAACAACATTACAGAAAGAAGAATAGCTTACTACCTGTGCTAGCTCATGATGGGATCAGCTGGCAGTTGGTGACAGTACAGAGAAGGGGAGGGTAGTATGTGACTGCTGTAGGAAGCCAGGCTGCTGTTAGCCCACCCATAGACTGACATAGGTAATTAGTGATGGTAGGACACTCCTCACCTACCTACAAGGCTGAGCTAGTCGTACTGGGCAATGAGTAGGTACCTCCAGAGTCAATTATCTATCCTGCGTTGAGATGAAATGTATCCACGTGCCAAGGTGCCTTTCTCTGACTTGGTAATGCAGGGAGCTCAGGGTGGTTTTCTCAGACTGACCACCTAAGCCTGAACAGATAAATCCCACCCAAGGGTCTGTTTATAACTAGCCTCAGCTTGAGGTCTGTATCTAAACAAAATTGTTCTGATAAATAGGCATCTGCTAATGCCAGCTGTGCTCTGTCTTGTGGTTCACTTTTTGAGGTGTCATACTTGCAGTGTTGGGAGGAACTGGGCAACAGTCTTTATTCTTAGGCAGCTTCCCATTATTTTTAGAACCTCCTTTAAAAATAGCTGTCACTTATCTAATGTGTGAGAAAATGGGGACAAAAGCTGTTTCTGCTCTGTGTTTGTTCTCCTCAGTAGGATGCTGTGGCAACCAAAAGCAAACATTTTTCCTGTCCACTTGCCCTCCGGAATGGTGCTGTTGGTCATCTGTCCTTTCTCTGTCAGACCTCTGGTTTTTCACTTTTGCTTTGTGTTTTTCCAACTAGTGATCTACATTCTAAGTCTCTTATCTTGTCTTTCCCTTCCTCTAGCCTCATAAACTGCTTTGCTTAGATTTTGTCTTCTGTCTGGGCATTCCTGATCTACCCCTGTGTTTATACGTGAGTCCATTGTGGGACATGAAAACAGAAAGCAGGGAAGGGAGAACACTAATTTTTCCCCTTTTTAATCTAGTGTCCTACCACACTAAGCTTGAGCTGGCTTCATCATCAGGCTTCTTCCCTACTTCCTTCCATCCTTTAATGTGGCATGCCTGAGTGCATTCTAATTTCACTGACTGCGTCCACCCAATATTAGCAATTACTCTCCTGGGGATCTGGAGCTGTGGGTTCAAATCCTTTTAAGTTAAGGATGTTCCATAACTGGTACTTCACACTTTTTGGATCAATACTTGAGTGGCATTTCTGTTGTGCAAAAGGCAAGTGCCACTGCTGCCATGGCTGGGATGATCAGATGGGGCCTTGATAGACCTTTCTGCCTGTTCTCTGTGCCTCCAAAAATGTAGCTACAGGACTAGGACCACCCTCCCCATGCACAGTTTGCCTTTTGAACCTGTCCAGTGCCCTCAAGAAAACAACTGTCAGACCCCCCTAGGAAAACTTCCAAGCACCTGGAGAGTGATAATGTGTTGGAAAGTATAAGTTGCTTGAATGGGTATTAACCACTTAAATACTGCACAAATACCCGAACTTCTGCAACCAGTCCTAAGCCTCTGTGGACGAGAAGGGAAGAAAAGCAATGCCTTAAAGCTTCATAAATAAAATTACAAATGCATATGTGCATAATATATATTTATTCATGTAAAGAAAAGTACCCTGCAACATTCTCCACAGTATTCACTGTTTCATGGTGAATCCTTAGTGTTTTATTTCCTACAGAAATAAAACTATGTGTGGGAATAGCATCAGGTACTCATGTCAATGCTTTGTAGGAATGGGGCTGAACTGAGATGGTTTAGACATAGGTTTTAGAAGAACTGACACCTACATTTGAACCCTGGTAAGTTTTTTGTTGGTGGTGTTTTTGTGGGCTTTTTTTGTGTGTGTTTGGGGTCTTTTTTGGCATTTTGGGGAGGTAAAGAATACAGAAAATTTGATCTGACATATATTAAGGATGGCATCCAAAACTGCAAACTGTTTTTGTAAAATATAGCTGCACACAGCAGAGATCTTGTAATCTAGTAGGAACTTTGATTTAAACATTGCAGGAGAAATTCTCTTTAGTTGTATCTGACCAACATTTTACATAAAGATAAAATTCTACTTGAGCATTATTTTCTAGTGACTGAAAAACCATAGAGAAATATTGTGGAAAGATTTGGCACCTGGGTCCCATCTCCCTCTAGTTAAAGGTTTTGAAAACATACTTACCCCCTTCTGGCACTATTTTGATCTTACCCTGAAGCCCTGATTTTATATTTTTAACACAGATTACAGTAAGTTAATTCTAACATGAATTCATTGACTTCAGCAGAACAACATCAGGAAAAATTTGTCTCAATTTTTACATTCTTCTTGATGAAAAGTGAGACTACTATTCCTACATATGTCAAAGGCATTGTACAGGCAGAACTAATAGTCCCTTATACCTCACAAATATTGGCTGAGGAAACGGCTCTATTGTGCCAGAATTAAGTGCACTTCGGGGAGTAACCAAAGACTTCCTATCAGTTAGGTTTTTAGGTAATGCTAGACTCACTCTTTTGTCCTCTACAACAAACGTTGCTGCTCTTCAGCATCATCAGGACCTGTTATATCTCTGCTTTATACTACTCCATGCTCCATAGATTTCACAGAGACTTGGTAACTGCAGCAGTTATGGTCCTCTTTTTCTGCAATTCTACAGTATTAATATTTAGGGATTTTTTTTCAGTCTTTCAAGTCCATTGCTTCAACCTTTAAATCAACATGTAGAATTTAACTTGAGAGCATTGCAATGTTACGATAATGATCATTGTTTAAACAGCTTTGTAACTGATTCTGATTTTTATAGTCTAGCTAAGTGGTGAACTCTTGATTACCCAAGGTAAGGCACAAGGGAGCTGGGAGGACAAATGAGAAAACGCTTAGATAAAGTAAAAGCATAACTACACAAAACATCTGTAGGTTAGGATGATCAACAAGGCTGTAATGGAGAAAGAAGAGGTCAGTGACACAAGTTTCGTCTCTAGTGTGAAAGGCATCTTCCCCAGGGAAGGATCTGGAGCCCTTGGGCCAAGGGGTGAAAAGCAGCTTGTGTGAACAGCACTGGAGGCTTGTCCCTTCTGCCTCTCACCGCTTCCCCCAGAAACCTATCCCTAGTCTGTGCTGACTACTGGTGGTACCCTTGTACCGTGGGACTTAATTTAATTTAAATCATCTGTTCAAAATGTTTGAAATAGCATGAGGTCTGTGTCACAGCCTGCTATTTCACTGGCGTGATTTTATGGGCATGTGTTGCATCTGCTAGAATGTGGCTTAGGGCCTACCACGGTGCTTGAGGACAGACAAGCTGCCAGATAGTTCTGGGAGGTGTCGGGGCATGAATGATGAGGGCTTGAAAAGTCAGGGGAGTGAAAACCCTTGAAAGTTATTGCTATGTCTGTAGTGCTGACTCAAACCTGCTTGGGAAAGTCACCAAATGTGGCTGTGGCTCTGCAGATTTATGTGTGTGTCTGTACTAGGAACATACTTTATTCACAATAAAGATAATTCAGCTCAGATACCTGAGAATAAAGTATAGTTTTAAAAATAACAACAAAAAATCATAATAAGAATGAAAACAACTCAGTAATAGTGAAATAAAAACAGCTCAAAGATCCCATAGGATTATACAGAGGATTAGAGTTACTCCATAACTGTTGGCTGGCTGAGCACTAATGCCAGCAAGCATCATTTACCTTCTGCATTTTTCAGTCTTTGGTTTCAACTGGGCAGATCATCGGTGTTGTTGATTCTAAATCCAAAATAACAGCATGTAACAAGCTGCTGACCCTTGTGGAGCAGCCACTGGCAGATACGGGAACTCCATGCATGAGGCATTTGCTGGCTGAAGTGTTCTCCAAGTTTTCGATCCAGTGTTGGGGAGGAAGTGTGGGAGCTCAAGGAGTGCTAGAGGCCAACTGGCCTGGCCAGTCCTGCAGCAGTTTTGAGTGAGCCTGTGGGGCCTTGGGGGTTCTTCGATGGTCTCTCAAGGACTTGTCACTTGAAGTTTGGCTTGTAAAGCCTCTTCTCTCTTGTCAAGTGTGGTAGATTTCCTAAAGCTGACAGGTCTCAAAAGTTGTTTGGAAATTGTTGTGCTGTTTGCATTGATATGTTTTCATTCCTAATGGAAATAGAGGCATTTTACTATTTTTTTTTTTTTTTAAGTAAATGCTGCCTTTTCCTCCTCTTCTAATTTTGTTTTTCAGTGCTTTCAACTTACACTGATTTAATGGCCACTATTATAAGTGCTGCAAATTAAACTTCTGACCCCTGCATAGACAGTGAGAAAACATTCATACTTTTATAAATGCTGAACATCTCTAGGTTTCTCTCTGGCATTGGTTTTACTGATGCTGAAGATACTCCAAATACTGAGACCAAGATGGCATTTTAAAAAACAGGCTGGTACCTGTTCTAAGGACCACTTTCAGTGGGGCTTGGTTTTCTAAATGCCTCTATGAATCTGAGTCTGAAAGGACTTGAAGATAGGTCGGAAAGGCAAGGAATTTTTGACGATTTTAAAATGAAAGATGCTGCTGTGGCATATACCTGGATATCAAACTCTTATTTCAATCATATGAGGCAATTTTAGCTGCAGGAGAGGTTTCTTTTGAAAGCAGGAAAAGGTGGAGAAAGTGATATCCAAAGTGCTTTGGGTTTTATTTCTACTACTAATGTGTCCCTTTACTGCAGATGCAGACTCTATAAAGTATTTAATCTGCAACCTCTTCAGAGATTTCTTCTGTTAGTGGCTCTTCTCAGACCAAGGTAATTTCCCTGAGCATTTGTACAGATCTGGGTGTTGTGACCTGACTGACACTAAAGAAGCTAATTTTTCTAGAACAAGTCCGTTTTCTCTGTGAGCTTACCTAACACAAAATAGGGTGAGGTGTACCTCCTCTGTCACTGAGGCTTGTAAGCCCAGCAGCTAGAGCTAGTGGGGAATGTGCTGAAGCTTCATTGGAGGTTTTGTTTTCCCCAGAAAATCCTTCATATCTGGCTGCTGAGCAGAGCTAACAAGCAGCCTTGACAGTTCTCTACTTCTCAATGTCTGTCTCATTTCCGAGCTGTGTAGGAGTTTGCAAAGGCAGATTAATATTTAACATACCTGGAGTCTTTGATCTTTCAATTGGAGTCTGAATACATCTAAATCCTCATAAAATGCAGACAGAGGAGATGATGCTGCCTTTTATTCACTGATGCAGAGACTGGAGCACCCTCCTAATTTCAATTCCTTCTTCCATCTCAGGCTGTTTAATTCTGCTCTCCAGCTTGTCTATCAAGAAACCTTATCACCAGTCTGCTGGGTGCTCATGCTGAAACTGCCTAATTTCCAGGCTTTCAGCTGTGTATCTGAACCACTTGGCTTGAAAGCCTCTCTGTCTGATCTTCTGAATCCTGAAGTGCCCCTGCTACAAAAAAAAAGGTGGGATGCCCTTCCTAGGATGTCCTGCATACTGGTGACCAGGTGCTCTTCTGGGCTGTGGGGTGGCACCTGCAGGCTGAGGCAGGTAGGACCCACGTCCTCTGTTTACTCAGCCCACAAATCCTTTCTCTCAAGGGTGGCTGCTGCTGAGGGTTAAACACCTACATTCAAGTGTCTGGAAGAGCCTTCCAGGCATAAGCCTCTGGCATATCCTCCTGGCTGACTGTTGCAACCACAACTCACTGGTTTTCCTATAGGGAGCACTGGTCCCTAGCTTGGCACTATGAAGGCTGTTCCTGCTATGGACCCCTTCACTTTCTAGTCAACCAGCGCTAACTACTCAAATGCCAAGACTGACCTTAGAAACCTTTGAAGATCTGGAGAAACACCCTTCTCCTCAACCTTTTTTACTGGCTAGTTTTTGTTGCTCTCTCTTTTACTTGCTGATGGTTGTGAATCACAGACAGGAAAAAGAGGTAGGACTGTCCACGGTGGATACAGTGAGCTTCTCTAGGCTGCAAGATACACCAGGATGCAACTCCTTGTACTCTGGGATTAGGAGTCTTCTCCTGGGGAGATGTAGCCAGATTCGAGCTTAATGTATGTAAAGTAATTTTAGTATGCACATGAAAGTATTTTGGAGGAAAGTGCTCTCACAGATGTTGATACTTCAAAAATATATCAAGACTGTGTTCAAATTATTTGTATAACCTTAGAAAATAGCTGTAAAGTGGCCAGCAGCCTGACTTGATTTCTAGTAATTCTGGCTGTCCCTGTGCATAGGCAAGAGAGGGCCAGCCTCAGAACAGCAGAGGACAGCAACACAGCAAATATTTTCCTGCTGCTTTTGTCTGTCAGAGCCTTGAGGAGCTGACCTGGTTGCTCCTTCTCCATGGCATCCAAATTTCCATTTCTTTTCCCTTTCCTCCCCAGCTATTGCTGTTCTGTGTGTTCACCTTTATCATAGAATCATAGAAAGGCTTGGGTTGGAAGGGACCTTAAAGATCTTCCAATTCCAATCCCCCTGCCATGGGCAGAGACATCTTCCACTAGACCTGGTTGTTCAGGGCTCCATGCAACCTGGCCTCGAACACTTCCAGGGATGGGGCATCCACAACTTCTGTGGGCAACCTGTTCCAGTGCCTCACCACCCTCACAGTAAAGGATTTCTTCCTAGCATTTAATCTAAATCTCTCCTCTTTCAGTTTAAAGCCATTCTCCTTTGTCCTATCGCTGTCTGCTTGTGTAAAAAGTCACTCTCCTTTTTTTCATAAGACCATTTTAAGTACTGGAAGGCCACAATGAGGTCTCCCAAGAGCATTCTCCTCTCCAGGCCGAACAGCCTATCTTCATAGGAGAGATACCGTTTCTCTGATCATATTTGTGACCCTCCTCTGGATCCACTCTAATGGGCCATGCCTGATTTTAAGGTATGCCCTCTCCTCTAACTCTGGTTCCTCATGATTGGGTGGCAAAAGTCAATTTTGCCTGCACTCTTGAGAAGCCTTGAGTGATATTGCTGCAATTGTGACTAAACTTATCATGGCCTAAATATTTAAACAGCAGTTCCACAGTCTTCTGGATATTTTTTCAGATTGACAAAGCTTGTCTATGAAGCAGTTCATGCCTGGCCCGTTAGAGGAGCACATGGTGTGTTGTGGAAATCCCCAGATTTCTGTGTTCCTCCCTTGCCCCATAGGAGGATTACCCAGCACCTGAGATTTTCCCTAGCATTTCCTGCCCCACTGTAGCTCACTAGATTATGACTGTATTGAGATCTCTTGCCTTAGAGCTCTTCCCAGGCCCAAGCATAGACACCACCTTTTTAAGGCATGGACCTTTAGCTGCAGCTCTCTCTCCTTTGGAAGGAAAGATGAGGAAAAGATTTGGGTCAAAAGGGGCTCACAAGTCTTTACCCCAGATCTGGATGATCAGTGAGACCTTAGGGGTGTATTGTGGAGTCCCCCTTCTCTGCAGTGTGGGTGGGTGTAGCTTCAGATGGTGTAGCAAGGGTGTTGTGAGGCAGAACAGCCTGACCTGGGACTCATGCCATACCCTCCACACATGAGAAGGGAGATAAAATCTGCTCCCATCAGACCCCCTTTCTGCAGTCTCCTAGGGGATAATGGAAGTACAAACTAGACAGTAATTCAGAGGAACAATTTATTCCTGCAACTTCAAAGTCATCTTCATGGTCTTGCTGCTAAGATGTCTGTTATGCTGTTTAATACCTTCAGATCATCCCAAAATTAACAGTTCCACCGTCCTAGACCCCAAATATGTTAAGTCATACCATGTACTGGTCCCATACCTGTACCTAATCTTACTTGACTTATTTTTGAAGAGATTCAGGGAGAAGAGAGTAATATAGCTCTAGATATAAAATGCGCGTCTGTATTGTAGCTATAAAAGATGATATACAGGTACTTTCTCTTGAAACCCTGATATGACTTTCATCTTATTTGTGTAATACAGAGTTTTGGTGAAAGAAAGACTAGAAAAACATACTAGAAGTACATAAATAACACTTTTATGAAAGTATTTCTACAGGCCCCCTAACTACTGTCTTTTGATGGTCCTTTCACACAAACTCCATTTCTGTGCTGTTATTTTCTGAGACATCTCTTCACAGCCTAATTTCAGGCAATCCATTCACTTGTAGGCTTGGACAAGGGGATGTTTCAAAGGTTATCCTCTTCAGGAGTTATTGAAGACTCTGATGTAACTTCATTGCATGATACAGTGAAATATTACCCACTTTCCACTCTCAATGACTTACATGAGGGCTATTGTATCAGACAATTTGCTGGGCATAATTCCAGTGCTCAGGTAGATGGGAAGTGAAGTTTCGTCTTCTATTGACTTGCCTCTTTAGAACAGTATCCACTCTTTCTAAGTAGGAACTAACATCTTTTAGTGCAAGGCCAGGCGGCCAGGAAGGCCAATGGCATCCTGGCTTGTATCAGCAACAGTGTGGCCAGCGGGACCAGCACAGTGATTGTCTCCCTGTACTTGCCACACCTCAAATCCTGGGTTCAGTTTTGGGCCTCTCATTACAAGAAAGCCATTGAGATGCTGGAGGGTGTCCAGAAAAGGACAATGGAGCTGGTGAAGGGTCTGGAGCGCAAAGTCCTGTGAGAAGCAGCTGAGGGAGCTGGGATTGTTTAGACAGAAGAAAAGGAGGCTCAAGGGAGACTTTATGGCTTTCTACAACTACCTGAAAGGAGTTTGTGGTCTTTTCTTCCCAAATAACAAGCAATAGGATGAGAAGAAATGGCCTCAAGTTGTGCCAGGGGAGGCTTAAACTGGATATTAGGAAAAATTTCTTTGTGGAAAGGTTGTCAGCCATTGGAACAGGCTGCCCAGGGAAGAGGTTGAGTCACCACGCCTGGACATTTAAAAGATATGTACATGCGGCACTTAGGGACATGGTTTAGTAGTGGACTTGGCATTGCTGATTAATGGCTAGACTTGATGTTCTTAGAGGTCTTTTCTGGTCTAAACAATTCTATGATTCTAAACCCATATACTGTATTTTCTCTGTTCACCTTTCCAGATCCCTGTCTCTAATGAGAAACCCAAACATACAATTGTCCATTATTAGCATTGCTTAATCTCCTTGTTAACTAAATTTCTTCTGAGCTTTATCTCACCCAATCTAATGGCAAAACAAACTGCTAAATGTGCTGCTGCAAGTGGCATGTGTGTCTGAGGAACACACAAACTGCTTGGAGGAACTGCATCTGTTCTTCTCATGCTGTGTGGATTGTGGCATGCAAAAATACATTGCGTTAGTAGAAGGATGCTGCATGTGTTCAGAAACTGTTGAGAGTCTTTGGAATTCTTATAACTGTTTACTCATTCTTTTGTTTAGGAGTCAGTGACCTGTAAGTGCTCATTATGAAGAGAGATCTGGTTTTCTTGGTGACTCTAATTAGCCTTGCCTTCCTGTCACTACTAAGGTCTGGATATCCTCAACACATTGCAGAGGAGTCCTGCTCTGTTCAGATTCTTGTTCCAGGCCTCAAAGGTAATGTGAAACCCTACTCCATTATTCAAATATTAATATTTTTCTTCTAACAGGCTCATTTGCACCACTGACAGTTTCTAACAGAGACAAAGAAGGTGCCTTTCAGTTGCCCTCTTATTTGTTCTATTTGTAGCCTCCTTAAAAATGCAGTTTTAAGGTCCATAAGGTGAAATTAAATGTGTTAAAATAAACATGGTTCAGAGAATGCATACAAATCTCCCAAATTTGCTCCTGATCAGCAGTGCTTGTTACTATGATACACTGCCTGGTTGCTCTCTCTGGGTTTATACTCAACAGTGGTACATGTAGCCAAAGACTGCAAAATCAGGCCCTACTTTATTACACCTGGAGAGGTTTTAATTTCCATGTTGCAATGTAATGTGAAGTATTTTGTGTTTTCTAGTATTTTGTTTGTATTCTCTTGATTTCTAAAAGCTCTAATACTTTTTAGTAGAAAGAAAACAGTAGTTAGGTTTTTGGCATTTCTGTAGTTTTTGTGGGAAAAGACAACATTTTTATAAAATATACCCCTAAACTATTGCCCAAAGAAGATGGTGTAATAAGTTATTGATCTTTTCATAGCAAAAAATATACCTTACATAAGAAATCAACCAGTGGGAAGAATTAGCATTTTAAAGCAACAGCATCCATTACAGTGTGAAATTCCAGCCCTGTTTAGTCAATAACAGTAATTTCCCTTGCGAAGGCTATAGTATTTCTATTGGAATTTAGCGCCTATGAATGTGGGGAAGTACTTGTTAACTAAGGAAAAAAAACCCATAAATCCTATTAGTTTATCCTTAACAATATATCAAAAAAGCATTTTTTAAGAACCACACAATGAACCTTCCATTTTCTTCTTGTAATTTTGCCTTGTACTATCACAAAACTCACCTAATCAGGTGAGCTATTAATCTTTTCTAGTACAAACCTGGGCTTTACCCAGTTGCCTGAGGAACATAGTATGAGCTGCAGGCACTGTCTGTTCTGGTTACCTGATTGGTAAGAGAAGGCTCACTTCTGTTCTGCAGTTGTTCATACAGTTAAATTGTGAGCAGAGCCTGGCCATAGATTTGGCTGTAGTGTAAACTGCCCTCTCTAGACATTGCCCAATTTGTGTGTTGCTACCCTGTGCTTGAAGCAAGAGAATTGGGCTGTAGGGTGCAGGCTCTGCTTGGCCAGTTGACTTTAGGAATAAAAAAGCCCTTTGTTTACTCATTATTATTTATTGTTGTTTTGTTTATTATTATAGATGCAGTTTTGGATGCCTGAACTCAACCAAAAGCTATTTTTTCTATTTACTTCAATAAGTGACTTTTGAAGTCTTAATAGTATTTAGACCTTCTGCAGATGTCCTACTTATAAAGAACAACACTATATCCTCAATTCTGAGGTTTGATTAAGACTTGAGTAATTTGTTTAATATGTTTACCGTGGAAAAGGCACAAGATAGTGCTGTTAATGTGACTTCAGAGAAGAACACAAGCTAGTTAAATATATGTTGTCCAAAATTACATGAAAGATCAGTTGAAGGGTCAGACTCCACAGCACTGGGGACTGAAGCTTTGAAATGACTTTTCATTTCAAAGAAGTTGACAGGCTTGGACAAGTTTTGTGACCTCTTTGCCTTAGTTTCCTTATTTGTGTAATCAGTCAAAATTAACATCTATGATTACCATTTTAGTGCAAGGATCATTATTATTATTATTATACACAGCAGAGGTTTCTGAAGTGTATAAACAGTGCAGGACCCTGACCCTTTGGCAAAAGGCAATTCTGAACCTGGAAAGCAGAAATAGACCTGAAAACCATCATACGTTAATGATTTCACTCCATTTCATGAGATGTAAGCCTTGCAAAATTGAGAGAGATTGATGTACAAATTCAGTGAAGCACAAAATGGCCTGATACAGCTCTAGTTAATGTGAAATCCCCAAAAAGCTCTCAATGCTCCAGCTATGCTGTCAGAGGGACTGGCTCAGAGAAGTGACAATGCTGTCCCCCACTGGCACAACTCCAACCCATTTCGGTGGCCAAGGCTTCCTTTAAACTGAGCAGATGTTGGCTACGTGCCCAAATTTCAGCTCCCATGCAGTGGGATTTGTTCACTGCAGCTTTTAGATCTGCGCCATCTCCTCATCAGCTGGAGTGCCAGCAACATCTCCAATGGTGGGGGAACAGACCACCATACTGCTACTGGGCATGACACTGTCAGGATTTGGGAAAAATAGGTACAGGGAAGAAATGGAAGAAATTAGGGAGACCATGGGATATGAGAATGGCAGAAGATAGAAGCTGAAGAGGTGGTGGAGAAAGTGGAGCCCAAATGGGGTGGTGAAGGAGAAAGTCATCAGGGAAAAGTACCCAAAAGCACGGGGAATTTTAGAAGAACAGGAAGAGATACGGGGGGAAAAAAACCTAAACAAACAAAAAACCAGAAGAGCAGAAAGAATGAGACCAAATGAAAAGACTGGAAACTCGGAAAAAAAAAAAAAGACACAAACCCAATTAAGAGCCCACAGAAAAAAAGAAAGAATCAAAGGGGCATGAGATGAGAATGGAGGTAGAAATGGATGATGAAGAAAACCAGTAAAGACATCAAGACTAGAAAAAGCACAAATGAGTTTAAGGTCAGCAGTTCAGGTCTTAGGGACTAGGTTTGTTTTTTATTCGTGCGGGTTTTTTTTTTTATAAACTCGAGAGTATAAAGGAATAAGATGAAATGAGGAATGGAAAAACCATGACTCTGAGAAGGCAGACAGCAGACTGAACCATGTTTTAGAAAGCTGACAATATTAATAATGGGAAAAGTGTGTTGTGTGTGAAAAAGGGATGGATGATGAAGCTTTGCTACATAGCTCACTCATATTCCTCCTTAAGTCCAGTTCCTTTTGTTAGATCCGTGAAATTGAAGTTACTACTGTTGTGGAGAAAAAAAAATAACATGGAACAATTCTTGAATGCTTAAATTCTCAGTTTGCTACCTTGTTTTGTCTCCCTTTTAGAATCTAAAGCAGTAATTGTCTTAATAGTCTGAATGACATTCAATACATAAAAAAGTTGATGATAGATAAATAAAACCAACAGTATTTTACACCCACACATGATGCATCTACTCACCCAGGGAATATGAGTAATGGAAGAAAGTTATCACCAGCCAAGAATGCTTAATAGCTCACATAGTTAATATTTGGTGTGCTATTTTCATTGCGCATAGATGGTACAGCTTAAGAGAGAGAGGATATGAACATAAACATAGACAAATCCTGTCCCAAAGAATCCACAAAAAAGGGCAAATAAACAGCAGTGGTAAGACATATCACCTGAACTAAGAAAGATCTTTCCCAGAGATGATGGAAGAAGAAGACTGTAGTAGTGCCAAGGCTGTGCCTGATACCCCTGATCCTACTGCAGCTCGGTTTGGTGACAGGGCTAAATTTCTTTCTAAGCGCTGTGGAGCACTGCTAAGCACATCTCACCCTGTCTCAGCTGCACTGTGCTGATGAAGAAGGTACTGTTTTACGCGGTGGGGCTGAAGCAAAGAGACATCCAGAAAGCGATGGAGAGGAGATTGAGCAGGAGATATGACTGCAAAGGGACTGTGTCTGGCAGAAAAGACCAAAACAGAGCAACTGGGTAGGGACTGTGATGCACAGATCCCAACCTCTTGCTCTGAAGTGACTCGGTTGTAGACCAGAAGAGGCTGGAGACCAGAAAGGAGGCACAGAGGTGTCTTTCTCTAATGCATGAATCAAAAGTTAAAGTTATTGTTAATTGGTGAGATATTAAATTGATTGAAATTCCTTAACAGAAAGCTGCGTTTTTGCCCATGACACCTGCACAGGCTTTGCTTCCTCAGCTTGCACGGTGCCCAGGATACATACAGCAAAAATAGGGACTTAAATGTGACAAAGCTGAGCTGGACCACTGATCAGTTATTCTTGGCCAAGGTCTTGCTCCTTAAAACACATTATAACAAAAAAGTGCAGAGTGGTCTCTAGCTGGGCCTGTAATGGGGTAATCTCCTCCCAGAGAAAGTTTCTAAAACACCCACACTAAGGAACGTGGTGCCATCTTATTATAGGAATAAATGCAGGCAAGTGTAATGGCCTGAAGCAAGAGTGATCTATTTTATTGATCCCTAATGCACAGCTTTCACTCTGAAGAACGTGTAAAGCAATAGGCTGTAATAGCCTGTTCTCAGCCTCCAGAGAGCAGGGAAAAGTCATTGTCAGGATTTATGTTTGGGAAGCAAAGAACTCATAACCAGCCCTGAGGGGTGAAAGGCAATCATACAAAGCCTATTGGTTACCTGATAATAAAAATGTGACGTTCCCAAATGTGCCAAATTATAGCCTGTTTCATACTAACAATATTATTCACTGGGGATTATGTGAAGTTTGTCCTCATTAAGGTCAGAGAATGGTCTATTTTTGCATGTCTGAAGGCAGGGAAGATGGTCTGGAGCCTGCTGACAGCCTGAAGAATGAAAATATAACAGACGGAGGACCAAGTTCAGTTCACAGTCATCTAGGTCTACAATAAGGAGAGAGACAGAAAGAGAGCTGGAGGCTGTGCATTTGAAACATACCATGTTGTGGCATGCCATCTTTCTGGCCCCTCTCTGAACCATAGCTGCCAGCTATGCCGGAGAGCAGAGCTTGTGGGATGCATGATAACCTTTGACTTTACTGCTGTGGTGCTCCCCTCAGCTTCCTGGAGAGCAGTTAATAACTCTCCTCTACAGAAATGCAGTGGTGAGGCATCGTGTGCGCTGTACTGGCTCTGGGTTTTAGATACCGGCATCTTAATTTCTGTGGGAGCCATAGAACTTTCTTTTCCTTCATATAAATCTTTTTTTGTCAAGGTGACTGTGTAAATCATTCTTTAAATTTCTGTTTGTGAAAGAAATGTTAAGTCAATGGCAAACTACAATGGTAGGGGGCAAGATGAGCTAAGCATCCCCAAATTTTCAATGAAAGGAACCAGGAAGGAAAACATTTACAGAAACTGATGTTTAAATATGGTGACTATAATGATGTGCCATGAGCCACGTGCTTGTCAGTACACTGCATAGTGGTTCATACCTCAGAGATTATAAGGTACAGTATATACTGAGGATATGGAGTAGGGAGTTACTCTTTCATGCTTAGAAATGATCCTTTAAATGATGGATGTAGCAATGCCTTTTTATAGGTCTGATGAATGGCATTTTTTAAAAAAAATTGAGATTATAGCTAAGCCATTTGCACTTGAGACTTAAGGATATCCTTAGCAGAGGCTCAAAAAGTGTTTGGTGAACACAGACCCAGAAATTTATGTGCTAAGCTGGGGACTAATTCTGAAGATTCTACTTAAGTGAATGGTACTGTTGGGTTTTTTGTAGGTTGATGATGCAAGTAACATCCACAAAAATAGACCTGTTGTATGAGACTTCAGCAATGTATTGACTTAGAGTTTGTCTATATTTACTCCAACTGAAGAAAATTCTGTTCTCTGTGCATCAAGTAAGGCTGTTAAATCAGATTGCATCTGCTTTTATTTTTTCACTGGAGAGAATGGCACTCTTGTCACTGCTGCTAACAGAAAATAGTCCTGGTTTAATATGATTCTTCTTTTTTTTCCATTTGTATCAAGGGGAGACTGGAGAAAAGGGGGAGAAAGGTGCTCCAGGTCGTCCAGGCAGAGTTGGACCTCCAGGAGAAAAAGGTAATTTTGTTAAAGAAGATGTTTTGAAAGCCATTCCTGACAAAATGCTGTCTTTTCTTGTGAGGTGATGATGATGGGAATCCTCTCTCCCTTTGCTGGGTGACTAAAACATCCTTGGCCATTTTTGATTACTTTTGTTGTGGTTTAACCCCAGCTGGCAGCTCAGCCCCATGTAGCCACTCACTCTCTTCCCCCCAGTTTGGATGGGAGAGAGAATTGGAAGGGTAAAAGTGAGAAAACTCATGGGTAGAGCCATGCACAAGCAAAGCATAACAAGGAAATCATTCACCAGTTCCTATAGGCAGACAGGTGTTCAACCATCCCCAGGAAATCAGGGCTTCATCACATGTAACAGTGGCTTGGGAAGACAAACACCATCACTCTGAACAACACCCCCCTTCCTTCTTCTTCCCTGGTCTTTATATACTGAGCACAATGCCATGTGGTAGGGAATTTCTCTGGGGTCCTGGCTGTGTCCCCTCCCAGTTTCTTTTGTGCCCCCAGCCTGCTTGCTGGTGTGGTGGGATGAGGAGCAGAAAAAGCCTTAACTCTATACAAGCACTGCTCAGCAATAAAGATTACATTTCTGTGTTATCAACATTGTTTTGGTCACAAATCCAAAATATAGCACAATACCAGCTACAATGAATAAAATTAACTTTATCCTGGCTGAAACCAGTACGACTGTATGCATTCCTTTGTAGACTAAGTATTACTTTCTGGTCAAAAAGATTCATTTGGAAATAAAAAAAAAGTCTTGATTTTTTAGAAAGATCTCTGTGAAGAAAGACATCATAATGTCTTCTTCATAATTTGCCTTCTGCAAATGAAAACCTCACATGAGATCAGAGGGAAAAAAATCACAAGGTTCAATTTTCTTGTTTCCTTTTTATTTTTTGTGAATGTGAACACTCATTAATGAAAACCATTGAGGGAAGGCATAATAGGCAGAGATGGCCATGAGTGTTTCCACATATTTTGGATCCCAGTTCTGTAATATCTATGGCAAAATGGTGATAAGGCTGTGTGCGTTGTAGTTCAAAAATATTTGGAGCTCTTGGGAGGAATGGTGCTCAATAGTGTTCAGTTATACAGTGAGAGAAACATGGCATTGCTGTCTTGCAGGAAGTGCTGTCTTTTCATGTTTGTTTTCCTCCTGAAGCAAGGAGGAAATTTGATGTTCATAAGCTTTCCAGGAGGTGCGTGTTCTGAAAGATTCACATTAAGAGTAGTCAAAACCTTTTATTTCAATATCGAAATTAAAGGTTTGATATTCCTGTCATCAGAACTATGGTGTGAGTTAGTTTTTACTGATCTGAGTTTACAGTCTTCCTTTCAAGGCAATCATAGTGGTAATTTATACTTCCTTATGATAATGCATGATCTCTTGTTGTTCTTTTAAGCAATTATGGGAGTCTGATACCTGCAGTTTTCCCTGGGACCAAAATCCATAGCTAGAGCTCTTCCCCCTACAATGCATTGAAAAATTTATAACTCCCATGAGATGTATGTGTGTTCAGTCAGTGTACTTACCTTATGTAGGTGTACTTTCAAGGACAACTGCTAGAAAAAATATTGGAAACTAAAATTTCAGCTCTTGCAAGGTAATGCAGCATGAAGTTAAAGTATGACAGAATAATTTAGGTTAAAAGGTTGTAAAGAGCTCATCTAGTCCAATCTTCTGCTTCAAACAGGGCAGACGTCAATATTAGAGTAGGTTGCTCGGGGTTTTTTTCCAGTAGACTTTTGAAAATCTCCATGGATGGAGATTCCACATCCTTTTTGATCAGTCTGTTCAACAGTTTCATAATGAAAGACCTTTTCCTTGAAGCCTACTGAAATTTTTCCTGTTGTAGCTTGTAATCATTGCATCTTGTCCTTTCTCTATGAGTCTCTGAGAAGAAAATGCTGCATCTTCTCTAGAAACTGCTTGTAAGTATTGGAAGACTGCAATTAGGTCCCCCCTTACCTTTCTGTACTGCAAGCTAAGCAAAACCATCTTTCTCAGTTGGACTCTGGTTTGTTTCCCAGGTACGAGGGCCCAGAAATCTCTGGGTCCTTTTATGCAAAGGCCTTTTTTTAGCCAGCCATTGGCCAGACTTCATCAATGTATAACAAGTGAGGAACTTAGCTGAACCCATGGTATTCCTGTCAATGTATTTCTGTAGTATGTCGAGCTCTTCTGACTGGCAGCGGTGTCCTCCAGCGCACCATTCCTGCCAGCATGGAGCTCATTCCTCTTCTTCCTCCTGGTGAAGGACTAGTTCCTGAGGAATGGCATTCCTGCTGATTAGACTTTGGCAGCCTTGCAACAGTGCCAGATAGCAGTCTTATCCCCCTTGAATGCTTCTGGGCAGTACCATGGACCTGTGTACATCCAGGTGAAGTAGTTCCTCACTCAATCATCCAATGCCAGGAGTGGCATGTCCTCCTCAGATCTTTGCTACCAGATGTGCAGAACTGGGAGGCCAGAGAGCAGATTTTGCCAGTAGAGACAAAGAATGCACTAAGAGCCTCTGCCTTCTCAGCCTCCTTTGGCACAAGGTTGTCTTAACCTCTTGAGAACCTCTCTCATTGTACTGTCTTGCATGTATCTCTAGCTTGGTAGTTTGTTTAATCCCTTCAAAATGCTTTAGACCATCTGAAAAGTGGAAGTACTCTTTTTCAGTCAGTCCAACCCATGATGTAGCATTTCATTTATTTATTTTATACTGTTGAATTGGATTTATTTGGAAAATCGTTCTCATAAGGAATCTTTGATTAACTCTAATAGTAATGATGATTTTCCAGTTTTCCATACCTCCAAAAGTCCAAAATTTTGATGAGATTAAAAGAAGGAACACTGAAGTGGAAATATACTGCAAGAAAACACACTTGAAACAGAAAAGAGATGAGAGAAAATCAAATATTAATGCATACTGTATTGGTATTTTTCTAAGAAGTGCTTTCAGTTAAACACAGGCAAAATTTCTTCTACTGTAGCAACATATTTTTTCAGCTTCCCTTTATGCATCCAGAAATGTCTACAAACAAGGTCTTGTTTTAAATAAATTCTAATTAACTAGTTTTTCATTAATGCTGTACATTATCAGAATCACATTAATGTTTTTTTTCTGTTGCCTTTCTTTGTTTCATTTTACTAGCAAGTTCATATAAGAAAATACGGTTAGTTTCTTAGAACTCCATTGGTATGTAATAACAAAATAACTTACAAAAGAAATGGTTTTCTTATGGTATATTAGACCTGAAATGAACAGCTCAAGATTAGAAAGTGCTGCAAATGTTTTTATCCTACCCTTTCCTCATAATATTTTCAGATTTTGGTAACTCAGAAACTGAGAAACATTAAAAGTTTCTGGTGCTTACCTGAAATAAATCTTGTTCTGACTGTCCTGATGCTTCAGGGTGACATCAGAGATACAGATGTCTTTGGGTACTGATTAAGGTTAAATTCCACTTACTTTCTTCATTGCTTTTAATTAATTGTATAGGTCAATTATGATGCATAGCATGTCAGCAGAATATAAAACTGTGTTGGCCTTATGTAAAGCACAAAGCACTGTATCAAGTACAATGGCTGTTTCAGACAAGCAGTGTGTACTGCAGTGCAAGTTCTGGGGTGTGAAGTTCATGGAAGTAACTGTCACTACGTGCACAGATGGCTGTACTGTGCACTCCCATGTTGGGAGTGAACTTCATTATTTCACTGAGTCATGATGCAGTCTGTGAGGCCATAACTTCCATGTATACAAATTCCATACAGATAGTTCAGTAACAGTACAGTCCTGTGAATATTCCCAGAGTACTTTATGACAATCAAAATAAGGAGGAAAGGGTGAATTTGCTGTTGAAATGCATCATCAAAGGAACAGCACATTAAAAATGTGTTCTTCAAGACATTTTAATTTTCTAAGAACTGTAGCCATTTGAAAACGCATTATTTTAGTATTTTAAGTTCAGCCTTTTTACATTGTATTTCATTTATACTCAATGGTATGTTAAGCAAAGTCTCATCCTGTTCTTGGGCTTGGAACTCAAGTGTCAGTACCTTTGCAGTGTTAGCACAGCAACACTGACTTTGGCTTTTGCCAGCTAACACTTTCCCAGGTAATTCTTGGGCATATTTCGGGAACTGTCACAATGAGCAGCTTGCAAGTGATTATCCTGGCTTGAAGAGTAAGACAATTTAGTATCGTGGAGTGTACCATTCTCAGCCACCTAGTTCCCACTGCCAGGGAACAGTCCCAGGCATTTAGTTTACTAGTACAGGCAGAGCCTCTTAAGTAGGAGAGAAGACTCATTAATTTAACTGGATTGGAGCCAGAGTGCTCAGTCATTTGTATAATCAAATTCTAAAAAGAGGCAATAATATCTTAATTTATATTTTATTATTACTGATTGCTCATTAATATGTAATCAATCAATCCTTTGCGTTTCTGAGTCAACTTTTACATGAATTTATTGCTCGCTAAGGAGTGCTGCAGGCAGTATTCCATATAAAAGTCCTGACATTGACAGTTGTGAATTCACAAAGTGGGTATCTGGTTCAAAACTGTCTTTCAGTTCCACCTGAACCCAGTAAGATTTTGAGAAAATCTGTGGTAAACTGAGTGGACAAAAAAATGGCAGATGGGCTTCAATGTAAATAAATATATTGCCTAGGGACATTAGGGATGCATAATTTAATCCATACTTACATGATGCCAAAACCCAAAACTGTCACTTAAAACTCAAGAACTGTGCTGAAGTCATTAGCAACAGTCCCAAAGCCAACAGAACACTGCCCATTATCAGAAAAGACACCAAGGACAAAACAGGGAACTACTTTTTGCAGCTGATTTTGCTCTGTGTAAAATCCTGATACGCACTGTCTCGAATAATGAGTGTGGCTCTAGCCTCTGTCTCTCAAGAAGGACATGAAAGGTAAGAGAGGGGCACTAGAAATGTGAAAAAGAATAGCTGCCTCATAAGGAGAAACTGGACAGGTTGAGATTCTTGAACGTGTACAGAGGAGTCTGAGAGGGTTGTGATCAAGGTTACAGAATCCCCAGATCCCGTCATAGCTGAAGCTGCTGGGGACTGATCCAGCACTCTACCTGTAATACACTTCAAATAGTAGATGGGATTGTGTGATCTCCCTGTATTGCATCTTTTGCTACCACCACAGGAAACAAAATCTTGGGCTAGAGGGATCACTGGTCTGAGCCAGCTTAGTATTACGTTGCTAACATAATTCTAGCAATATAGATGTTTCATGAGGGCAGTTATTTGTCTTTATGTGCATCCAACTACAAACTCCTCCACTCAGGAATGTACCATACTATTACCATTTCTTTTGTTTTGGGTGTACTTTAAAATCCTTTAAACGTTTTTGCTGCCTTCCTAGATTGTATTTTTTTCTCACTCTCTTTAGTTTTCTTAGCTATTCTGATTTCTAGTCAGTATAGATTGATAATAGTCTATTCTTTTTTTCCCTCTTGTTTTTTGTGCAAAGCTTTCAAAGTTTCACTTTGTCATTAAACTACCAGTCTGCAACGAGTGTGATGAATCACTGCTGAGAGGTGTTTATTTCTCCATTGCCTACCATGGGAGCTTAGATAAACAGTTTAGACTAAAAAACCCAACTTTCAGGTGGTTAATGCTGGGTGAATGTAGTTGGCTTGCCTCAACTACATAAAATGCCACCTGGGATTATGCACTGTTTGTTCACATAAGAATATATGTTTAACATCTTTGTCAACAAGTTTGCCAATGACGCCAAGCTGAGTGATGCAGCCAACACACTGGAGGGAAGGGATGCTATCCTGAGGGACCTTGACAAGCTTGAGAGGTGGGCCTGTGTGAACCTCATGAAGTTCAACAAGCACAAATGGAGAATGGGTGGAGAATGGATTGAGAGCAGCCCTAGGAGAACTTGAGGGTGTTGCTTTATGAAAAGCTTAACGTGACCCAGCAACGTGTGCTTGCAGCCCAGAAAGCCAGTTGTATCCTGGGCTGCATCAAAAGAAGTGTGGCCAGCAAAATTTGATGGAAGTGATTCTCCCCCTCTAGTCTGCTCTCATGAGACTCCACCTGGAGTGCTGCATTCAGCTCTGGTTCCCCACCTTAAAAAGGACATGGACTTGCTGGAACAAGTCCAGAGGATGGCCACGAACATGATCAGAGGGATGTGGCACCTCTACTATGAAGACAGTCTAAGAGAGTTGGGCTTTTTCATCCTGGAGAAGAGAAGGCTTATTGTAGACCTTTTAACACCTCCAGTACAGAGGAGATCTACAAGAGAGCTGGAGAGGGACTTTTTCAAAGGCCTGTGATGATAGGACAAGGAGGAATGACTTTAAACTGAAAGAGGGCACATTTAGATTAGATATTGGGAAGAAATTCTTTACCACGAAGGTGGTGAGACCCTGGGATAGATTACTCAGAGAAGTTGTGGTTGCCCCATTCCGGGTAGTGTTCAAGGCCAGGTTAGATGAGGCTCTGAGCAACCCAGTCTAGTGGAAGATGTCCCTGCCCATGGCAGGGCTGTTGGAACTAGGTGATGTTTAAGGTCCCTTCCAACCCAGACCAATCTGTGATTCTATGTAAGATGTAACTATGTTGTAACCACTGTTCCCTCACTAATCATCGACCGTCATTGGTGTGGATAATTCAGATTATTTAGCATAAGGTGGTGCTGTAATTTATTGGTGTATGAGAATTTTCTAATTTCCAGTTGCCAGTAGTTTTTAAAAGTTAAGTGCCCTGAACGTAGATTACTACTATAACATAATTAAATCCTTTAAAAATACCATTCTCATTCAAGTTTGGTTAACTATTTGCATTGGGAATACTGACTACTGCAAGACTGTCAAGGTACTCTCTGGGAAAGACTTTTTAATCTTTGCCTGTATCTTATGTTCTTTTTCTAAGTATCCTCTGCAGATTGCTGTCAAAGATGGCACTAGAGTCAAGAGGCCTTTGGTGTGGTTTGGTACACTTCTACTTTCCTTGTTAGGTAGGTGTCTCTGATGTCCTCTAATCATGAAGAATTTCTGATTTGTCTTCAAATCATTAGTAAACTCAAAACATTAGTAAAGCTCTCTTCTCTTTGACACAATTCAATTAGATTTTTCTGTGACATGATGAATTTGTATTTCTGCTGGATTTGCCTTTCTGACACCTTTTTATTTTTCTAAGTAGTTTTATACCTTCTCGTCTGTTCCAGTTAATCCTATCTGAAGTGATTGCCATACTGTATGATGACTCCCATCTATAGTGTTGCACAGAGCCAAAACCCTAAATTTTTTCCCTGGTTGTGCAGCCCACAGTTTGTCTCTGGTATTTTATTTCTTCCTTTGTTGTTGTTGTTGTTGTTTTTTCTTTGAGCCTGAAAAAGCCACCAAGAAGATCATTTAGAGTTTCCTTATCTTCAGTTCCTTTTAAAATCCTTTAAGTCTTCTATAATTGGTTCCAATGTATGCCACCTTCATCTAGGAGATAACAGATAACTTGCTTCATATTCTCCATTCGAACTTCATGTTCAACTTCCCACTTTTGGTCTATGGAGAATTAATTTCTTTTATGTCCTCATTTCTTTCCAGCTCTTACTTCCTGATTTCATTAAGACTCTTCACACTGCATTTTTGACAACCATAGGGCCACTAAAAAGTGCTTTACAAAAAGTATTAAAACTTTTGAAACCCTCAAGGCAGATGTGTCTCTCCTGAAACCTTGTGATTTAGTCTGCAGAAGCAGAATAAGGAAACCCCTGGAGTGGAAGCAGGGGTTAGTCACTGTAAGAAAAAACCAAATCCAAACAGTTCTTTTAATGAGCACAGGAGATTTAATGTATGTCTTCATTGCTTGAGATAACACAGTTTTACTTCTGACCAGATCACGTAGCTTTTACTGGCTATGACTGAGAAGCAGCTCATTTTCTGGGCAGTATTTATGAGAAAGAAAGTGAATTAATTTTATATATTGTATTTTATTTATGCATTAGATCTATGTGTTTATTTAATTTTGTCCTGAAAAGAAAAAGTATTCAAACATCTGATAATCTGTTACAGCAATCCCAATTCATAAATATGTAAAGCAAGAAAGGTCACTTTCAGAGCCGCTTGATAAAGTCACTACAAGCTGGTGCTTTAAGGTTTCTCAAGGAAAAACCCTCTCAATATGCTATCTATATTGGATAAATATCCAGTGGTAGCATCAGCCTGCACAGCCCAAAGGATTGCATCTTTAAGTCAAGCCATGAAACTGTTCTGAAAATGAAGCTGTATTCCAGAAAGCAGATCTTCAATTGGCTCAGTGGATTATTTCCATTCTTCCATTAGGAAAAGCAGAAAAATATTTTTGCTTTCTAGTGACAGCCTGTGTTCAGTAGTGTCTGAATTTGATACTTATTGGAAACAAAAGAAGATTATTGATTGTAGAGTTTGCCAGTAATTAATTAGACCAACAAACCATACACATTTGGCTTCTCTCAGTTCAGAGGAAATTATTTCTTCTTGGTTCATGCCATCAAGTTACAGTTGCTTGAGACTTCATGGAATAATACAGAGGACATCTCTTAGCCCAGTGGTGATCAGTTTATATTCTGAAACTTGTTATTTATTACACCTTTAAGTTAAACATTATGATGAAACGGGTCATAATATTATCCAGCTTTCAAAAATATGTATGTCTGTCCAGCTGCAGTAATAACAGAGGGCAACAGACCTTCAGTTGCATAGATCCACAACTGAGGCTGAGCTATGACAATTTGTACAAGTCCAGTTGCTGGATCCCTATGGTAGATTTTCCTCCTAACTTGTCTCATTGTTTCCTTGCTCCTGTGTAGACAAACGGTACATAATAGATGTTGCTTAGAGCAAAGAAACAATCTTTTCAACAATCATTGAAAAAAACCTGCATAAATATTTCCTAAAACAGACCTGTGTTTCTGCAGGATGGAAGCCTCAGAGGGCATTCATCCCTATAGTCCCCCCATACCCACTCTCCATTAATAGTCTGGTACAGTGGAAAATATTATCTCCTATGACAATATTTATATTGTATAAATAAGACAGTAAGCCCAAAGTCAGCCCTCAGTTACAGTGGATCTACTGTCTTAGATGAAATGTCAGTTGTGCTTGGATCCTTTAGGTCTTCTCAACTCCATGACAGTTTTACTCCACTGATTCATGTCTGAAGCAATCCCCCTACCCCCTCATTGTCAACATTATTCTGTCAGGATCAGCTGAAAGAAGTTTGCAAAAGCTTTTCCACTGGCTCTCAGCCAACATCCATTTTCAATTACACCTTCATGCCTTGTTAATGTCAATTGCTTTGCAAGGTTTTAGTCACTGTCTAGGTTGTCATACGCAAGTTCTTCACAAGGAGAGAGCTGGACCTCTGGAGTTCAATAAATATTGGGGATATAGCATGTTTTTGCTCATTGTAAAAACTGATGCTGCACGCATACTAGAATCTGAATGAATCAGGCTACATTGCTACTTTTTGTCTTTTGTCTTTCTGTTGTATAGGAGAAATGGGAGACAAAGGACAGAAAGGCAGCATAGGACGGCATGGAAAAATTGGTCCTATTGGTTCAAAAGGTATGCTTAATTGAATTGTTTCTCCATTTGTGTTTCAGATGAAAATGTGTGATCATTTATGTTTGAGAAAATTTAGGGGCTTAAAAAATGGTTACCAAGTCTTAGAGCTTACCATGATGGGAATTTTCTCACACTGTAGTCAGCCAGGTTACTGACATCTCTCAGCCAGCTACCTTTTCCTCTGACAGCAGTATATTTAGCCTTAAAGCAGCATGAGTATCCTGGTTTGAGGCTAAATAAAGAACTTTGTCCACTGTCACACAAGAGTAGACAGTTAAGAGAAGCAGGTGGGAAGATGCACTGTACTTTTACAGACTTTTAAGAGCCAGAAGACTTGCTTTCTAATGTTGCCTACTCCATAGTGACTTCCTATGGGACTTTGTCCAGCCCTTTTCCCTCTACAGCATCTGAATTTACTGGTTCTGTGAAGTTCATGAATGTCAAAAAGTGGATATTGGTATATATTCTTTGTGTTCAAATTTCATAGCTTTGTCAACCTTTGTTGTGGAATGAATAGGATAGAAAAATCTTTATTTTTCTTGAGCATATTTCTACTTTCCACATTTGAATTGTTACTAGAGAAAAAATGAACTATTGACAAAAAAAGCTACCTTAAATTTATATTCTTTTTCATGTCTTTAGGTGAAAAAGGAGATAATGGTGACATAGGACCACCAGGTCCTAATGGTGACCCAGGTAACCATAACACACCTTGTGTATGTGAAAGACTTTACAACATGCATGCATCATCACCAAAATTATGTCTGTTTACATACTGGGGGAAATAATGAATAATTTTTTACATAGATACTATACTATTTCACTGTGATATTTTCAAATTACTTATAATCATTGAAGTTGCAGTAGTTGCTAGATTTGTAGTGTATGTGTTACAACAGTGTCTCAGAGTTCTCAGAGATGTAACCTCTCTGGAAGTCTGGCAGGTACCAAAGTGCAGACTGTCCATATCATTCATCTCCAGTGCAAAGAGACGTCTCTGCATATCCCACTCTGTCTTCCAGCCAACACAAAGGAGGAGGTTAGAAGCTGGATTATTGTTATAAGACCAGGAGATTGTCAAGAATACAGATCACAGAATCACAAATGTGTCAGGTTGGAAGGGACCACAGTGGGTCATCTGGTCTAACCCCCTGATCAGGCAGGGTCATCCTAGAGCATATGGCACAGGATTGTGTTCTTGAACACCTTCAGTGAGGGAGACTCCACGATCTCCCTAGGCAACTTGTTCCCGCGTTTGGTCACTGCACAGTAAAGAATTTCTTCCTCATATTCAGATGTAACTTCTCGTGCATGTGTTTCTGCCAATTGCCTCTTGTCCTTGGCACCACCAAGAAGAGCCTGACTCCATCCTCTTGGCTTCCCCCCCTTTGGATAATTATATGTATTAATGAGGTATATAGGTCTTCCAGAGGTATATAGATCTTCCAGAGAATCAGGTGAAAGCCTGACATAAGAAGTGTAAGCCTTACAAGAGCAGCAGGTTCAGATTTTACTGAATTTGTCCCTTCCTGGTAGAGTTCACTAGAGGTACACCAATTAGTTTTCTCATGAGAATATAATTTGTCACTCTAATTCTTGAGCCAGGGTACCATATTCCTAGCCATCATGCACAGTTTTTCAGGGCAAGTACCCTGTGCTTAGGCTGACTTAGACACCTAAGATGATTCATTGGGTAGTCAAATGCAGATTTTAATACTCACACACAGAAATGCAAACTGAAATTGATCCTCATGGAGATTTGTGCTCAAAGATGTAACAATTATCCTTTTAGTATTCACATTCAGATTAGCTTTGTCAAACCTATACCAATTTTGGTTAATAGATGGTTTTCTATTGTCTTGTTATATTGTAAGAGTTACTGTAAATTCTGTATTTTCAAAAGTACAGAACTTCATTTCGCATCAAATGGTTGGAACTTTTGAATCTGCTGTGTTATGTTCCTTGTGAGGAATGTCAAACAGTGCGTGTGCAGGTTTTTGCTGTGAAAGAAGTACTCTGTGAGAAAACTGAAGAGAATAATTTTACTGAAAATGGGAAATTTTGACAAATGTTTTTAGTTGTCAAAGAAATTGTGGTTGTTTGCAGAGAATATCTATCTGTGTTTAGATTAGCACTAATCATGCAGGGCTGAAGCTTCATGGGAAGTGAGCTGAGCTGTTCTGCACAGGCCCATAGAGAATCATATAATGGTGCAGGGTAGTGAAGGTTCTAATTTTCTGTCTGTTAGTTGCAAGACAGCCCTCTCCAGGGCTGTCAGGTTGGGCCTTTTCATAGACTTGTTGAGATAACTATTGAAATTGGGTAGCTTTTTGATTTGGGTATATCTGTATCATTTCACAGGCATCCCCTGTGAGTGCAGCCAGCTAAGGAAGGCTATTGGTGAAATGGATATCCAAGTAGCCCAGCTGACAACGGAACTAAAATTCATAAAAAATGGTAGGTTAATTTTATATAACTGTTTTTCTTTCTTGTTGCCTCATTTTACCGGTGCAATTGCTCGTAGAGAGTGTCACCGTTCCACATCTGATTTGTGAAGCTATTTTGGGGTGTACAGTGACTTGGTTTATAGAAATGCGAGTGCTCACTTTTCAGCACTGCCCTCCCCCGCAGCTGTTGCTGGTGTGCGTGAGACAGATAATAAGATATATCTGCTGGTGAAGGAAGAGAAGAGATACAAGGAAGCCCAGCTCTACTGCCATGGAAGAGGAGGGACGCTGAGCATGCCCAAGGATGAGACTGCCAACAGTCTGATTGCCTCGTACATCAACCAAGCTGGGCTCACCAGGGTCTTCATTGGGATTAACGACCTAGAGAAAGAGGGAAATTTTGTCTATTCTGACCGGTCACCCATGCAGACCTTCAACAAGTGGCGCAGTGGGGAGCCCAACAATGCTTATGATGAGGAGGACTGTGTGGAGATGGTGGCCTCTGGAGGGTGGAATGATGTTGCATGTCACATTACCATGTATTTTGTGTGTGAATTTGACAAAGAAAATGTCTAAGCTTCTCTGCTCTTTCTTTATTTTAAGAAAAGTTTTTAAGCCAATTTTACAGGTTACTCCATGTTTATGAGTTCAAGTGGCATTTTGCAAGTATGTAGCACCAATGTTGTACAGCTGTAAATACAATTTAGGTATTTCAAATATCAGTATTTACCCTTTAGAAGGGAAGAGCAGTCATAAGACATAGCTTGTTTTTTTATTTTTCTGTAGAAAAATATATATATTTAGATAAAAATGTGGTTTGGGGCTAAATTTTGCCCTTACAACAGTTAACGAATGTGATTACATGACTGTAAAGGGAAGGCAGAATTTGGCCTCTAGTTGTTAGAATGCTTAGAATTAGATTCCTGATAGTCTTTTATCTTAGCAAAATTTGTAGTTATAAATGTTAATTGCTTGTAGTGCTACAGGGATATTTCAGCAACAAGACAAATATTTTGTATACTCCAGTTAATTAGTACAAATATTACTGTAGGTTTGTTGGTTGTTAAAAGTTTGTTTGTTTTTTTTTTTAAAACAGCCAAAGCAAGCCAAGAAATAGGAAGTCCTACCAATTTTGTAATGTTTCTTTATTAAACTGTTCACAGATGTATGACGAGAAAGCATTTAAGTAAACTGGGTTTTAGTGGTGAGGGAGGACAGTCTAGAGAAAGGTGTCCCTGCCCACAGCAGAGGGTTAGAACTAGATAAACTCTAGGGTCCCTTCCAACTCAAACTATTCTATGATTCCATGATTCTATGATATGAAAGTTCTTATAATTTAGTACTTAAAGAGGGTTCCCATCCAGATGGTGTTTTGGAGTTGGCTAAAGGGAAAAGTAAGATGATTTTCTGCATTCCTTAGTTGAGAATGATTCGGTGCATGAAGTATTTCAGACCCCAAATAATTTCTTAAAGTAAGCACGTTTCACATTAATATGATCTTGGTGCATGTTGTTCCAAAACAAGCAAAATACTAGCCCTCCACAATTTAAGGCAGATTTCATAAATAGACAAAGAAGCTCATAGAAACGCTTTAGCTAGCAGTTCCTTTTGGCAGGAAAACAGCTTACATGTTTACAGGGCTTGTAAGGATGATCCCCTGAAAAGAAGAAAAGTTTCCAAAATTTTCCTGATCATATATATAGCAGTAATAAGTAACTTTGCACAAATAATTTATGTACCAAATTTACAATTGCATGTGATGGAAAATGTGATGTGTATTTAAAAAAAAAACCCAACAACATCATATTTCACAAAGGAAATCATAAATTACTTTGGATCTTTCTAGAAGCCAATTGCATGCCATCTTATCTCGTTGTTAGGCATAGGAAAATCAGCAAAATCTCTGACTGCATTTCTTCAGGAATACCTTGCAGAGTGCTTTAAGATTATTTTTAAGGTAAATGATCCTTTGCATAACATACTAATCAAAATATGTATCTGCTCATTATGGGAGATTGGTATACAAGATATCCATAGTGGATGTGGCATGTGGTCCCAGAGATTTTTCTACAAGGCAAAACCAACTCATATCAACTCTGCAGTGCTGTAGTATGTAAACAATCAATAACCATACAATTCTGTTCATATCCACAGAGTCTGCCATTTGATTTGTCTGCCTACAAGAACAAACCATTTTGCTTGATATATTTACTCTGCGAATTTGAATCTGTTATGTATATATGTTTGCTATTAATTTTGAAGATCATTATCCATACTATAGTATCCTATATTATTTGAATATCAGCTCAGCTCCAGAGCAATCACTCAAAATGAATTGGTCCTTTGATTGATTTACTTTCTTTTAATAAAGATAGGTATGATACCTATATGTTAGTCATTCTTCTAACTGCATATTGAAATATATGAAATAACGTTAATCTGGTTCTACACTAATATTCAAAGACTCTTTACAGAATTTTCAGGTAGTTAACAATGCCAGTAGAGCAATTTGTTTATAATCACGCCTTTTGAATATCATGATTGTTTCCTACCTGCTGTAGAAATCCTCACAAACCATTTAAATTTCCAACATACTTTTGTCAAATTATTGTAGCTATATTCAGACAGCCTGAACCTGAGATACCCGGAGCTTCCTCATTATGTGTGCTGAAGTTGCTGTTTATTTCTCACCTAGGTTTTGAAAGTCTCTGTTGTATTGTTCAGTTTCCTCAGAAAGATGAAAAGAGGCCTTTTAGAGAGGTGGGAAGCTTTTTGAGATGCCAGATGCTCCTATTACAGCTGGAAGTCACACAACATTTTAAAGATTGCCTCGATGTGGAGAGCATTAAACAGTCTCAAGTTCTATAAAAATTTAGGATAAAAAATAAAGGCAATGGAAAAAATCATTTCTTTCCCCTAGTTTTCATGTACTTCAGGATATAGTTTTGCAGTACTTGATGTGTTGGATATAAACTAAATTAGTTTCATTGTCAGATCCTGTACAGTGGCTACAAAGCCCTTATTTCATCATTTGGCCAAGAGGAACAAAGCTACTGTGTAAGGTCTCTGGCTGTCCTGCAAGAAGCGACGATTGCACATCTGATATTTACCCCTTTGAGGAACTGGGCAAGAAATGATGGAGGGGTTGGAAATGAATGAGCTCTTCATCATTTCTTTCACTGTCTAGTTGCTGACCTCCATAGGTGGGCATTACAATGCAGGTTTTAATGCACATGGAAAATACCCCAAATAAAAGTACCTCCTAATTAATTTCATTTTTTTTAAACAATAGTTCCAAGTTACCAAGCATGTCAGCAGGCTTTGTGCAGGCTGAGCATTACATGCAGCATTGATTTCTGCCTCCAGTTGAAAGCTGACAAGTTAGTTCTATTTGGGGTATTTTCCATGTGCATTAAAACCTGCATTTTAATATCATTACTCATTTCATGTGGCTCTGTGGAAGCCTTTGGAGCATGTCTGTCTGGGAAGAAGGCACAGGTGTTTCTCAGACTGTTCTTATATGCTCTATTTTTGATTGGATGATTTTTCCTCATAAATGCTTCCCCATAGCCCTTATTTATTTTATTCTTAAATAAAGGGCATTCTTTTAAGAAGGTAACAATAGCAGTTGCTTTTTGTAGTATAATATAAGCATAATATAATAATAACCCACTCAAGTGCTTGAATTACTTCACATAAAATGTGTATTTCATTCAACTATACACTGCACCTTTAGCTGCTAAGACTGTGTTGTTGTATTACTGATGTCAGGGTCAGATGTGCAATCCTGCTCTAGGAGATGGCTTGGTAAAGGTGAAGCATTTAACTGTCTGAGTCCAAGGGGAGTCCCATTGCCAGTGAGAGCTCTGCTTTGCTGTGGACATCTCAGGAGAGCACTGGATCATGTCTAATCCTGATCACCATTCAGATTTGCTTCTCCACATCCTGACTCCTTGGTGGAAGGTGCTGCTCCCAGTTGCCTTGTTATCCTGCTTAGCTCCTGGCTTGCCATCCCTCGAGAACCAGCTGCTCCTCACTGTGCTCTGACAGCTGAAACGATTATCCCCGGAGATATGTGTTCGTTACAGGTTTATTAGCATCAGAACTTCTCCCTGACTGTGAGTTTTACACAGTCTTATATCACAGAGAAGAACTGTAAAAAAATTAATATTCATACATGGGATATAGAGCATCCTTATTCATGTAAGTAAAATGGAGCTCTTAATTTTTCATAAGCTCAGGAAATGCCAGTTTAAATATGCATTACAAAATAGCAGCTGGTTGGACTTTTTCGTTACAGATTTTGATGAAAAGTGAAATAAGATGTAATTAAAATAATTTTAATTGTAAAATACTATTAAGGTTTACAATGGACAAAGAGTTTTGAAGTAGACATTTTTCAAAATGTTTACTTTTGGAATTTGTCAGAATTTAATTTCTGAGTTCTAAAACTTTATTTTGACCCATAAAGGGATTAGGTTTTTATGTTATTGTTAATATGTTTTACATCATGTCAGTGACAGTGTTCAGTGTAATGCTTGAAAGATTTTACTCTATTCTTTATGTCTTGATTTCCAATGGGAACAAGTTATCTTTTGAGGGTTCTGTTTGCCATACTGAAAAAGTTTGACGTTGCAATTGCTTTCTTCTTCTGGGCTTGCTATGACACTGTAAATACTATGAATATACAACAATAGATAGTTCAACCAACATTACAAAGAAGATATTCTTACTGATTATGAAAATTATTCATTTAAGTATTAGGCCATATAATTAGCAGTTTGTGCACTATCACTAATGTCCAAACCAATCATTAAATAAGATAAATGCAAAACTTTTAAAACCTGAAAATCTTACAAATACACTTTCATCCTGAATTAAAACACAAAGATGTCAAAGTAACCAAATTTACAGTAAAGCAGAAACTCAGGGTTTCCCCTAGGTCTAGATCCAGATCTAGTTTTTGTGGAAAACTCAGTGACTTGAGATGCTTATGGCTGAATCAAATCCTAGAGTAGAGAATTAGCCAACAGTCGCAATGATGCAATGTGACTTTCCCCCTTGTGCTTTCTAAACTGCTTCCCCTTAGCCATTATTTCCAAGCATTCTTCTCACTTAGCTATGTATATAAATGTGTGATGAGTTTGTCCCAAGGATCAGTCTCTTTTCACTGGAGATTCTGGTCTTCAATTTTTGGCTTGCCCTGTGGTGTCAATAGGTCCATGTCAATCAACATTTGCCACAGGTAATGGACCAAGAGGTGGGTATTTTGTCCACAGCAGATAGCTAGAAATGCTCCATGGAACCAGCTGTGATGGGAGAGGTATTGTGCAGCCCTGGAGCTGACCACTCACCCATTCCCTGGGGTGCATATTCCTGGTCAGGGAGACACGGCCCAGCCTACCAAGAGAAGAACTGACCTTGTTATTGTGGGTAAAAAGAAATTAGAGTCTTAAGATTTACTTAGGGAAAAAATTGTGCAGTGGAGGATTTTGGCTATTTACTTCATAGAGTAGCTGTGAGAAAGAACAGTTTGGTTTTAATTTTGCCATGTTAGAAGAGTACAAACTACGTGAATTGGGAGAGAAAGTGTTTGTGGAGAGGACAGCAGCTCTGCGCTCAATGTGTTTTTCTGGGTGTGAGTCTCCTCCTAGCCAGGAGTTTTTCAATTGGATGAGAAGGAGTGTCCTCTCAAGAGAGAGAGCATGAAATAGAAAAGGTGAGAGAAGCAATGAGTGGATGTGCAGAGCTGGCAGGGAGTGGGATGCCCAAGAGGCGGAATGTAAATGTTACCTCCAGCCATTCTCCTGCTTCCTGCTAGGGAAATGTAATTATCTTGCCCTTTCCATCAAAATGTCTCACTATGGCTCTGGATGGATAGCTACAAAAATAGAAGGAGGTGACCAATTTAGCATAATGTCTGTGTTTAAATAAAGCCCAGTTTGGGTCTATGGCCAAATAATAGCATTCACTGCACTCTGGGTATATTAATGCCTGAAATCACAGGGGATATAATTAAGCACTGCTATTCAAAGGCTAGCTATGTAGTATTGATGAGCTTCTGGGTATTCTTTACATATAAAAGT